AAATCCGGGGAAGCAGTTGCACATCCCACACTCACAGTGGCCCCTACCTGCAAACCAGAGGCAGGATCCTGTTTCACGCAGTGCTGTTGATGTCAGGAACACAGTTTCTCCCAGAAAAGGGAATGTGACCATATGGTTAGCACACGGCATGTTGTGATATCACTTTTTAGAAGAATAGAAATTAGAGAGCAATTGCAAAACATCCACCCATTCATTTTCTAACCACTTTATCCAATTCAGGGTCGCAGGGGAGCCAGAGCCTATCCTAGCAAGGCAGGGTACACCCTGGATGGGAAGTCAGTCTATTGCAGAGCAGACACACAGACGTGCACACACTCACACCAGGGCCAATTAACCCACCAGTATGTCTTTACACTGTGGGATGAAGCTGGAGCACCCAGAGGAGACAATACTAACTTCACACAGATAGCACCCCAGATCCAGAACTGAATCCAGGCCTCAACCCTGACTAGCAATGCTAACCACTGCACCATCATGGTGCCCATTCAGTCAAAACATCCACACATACATCCATTTTCCAAGTCCACCTGTCCTGGTGATGGTCGTGGTAAACACTGACAACAATGCAAGGTTTTTATTTTCCATGTGGACGAAATTCATAACAAAGAAATGCGCCGCTCAGTTTTCACCACAGTTTGCCCATGGGGAGAATCAGCACCTACTATATGTGAACATAATTTAAACTGATTTCTTATTCATCAAAGAATTGCTCACTTGTGAACAAAGACGGTTAAATATTACTAACTGTATGTGCTGGTTTCATGTGCATTTTTTTATCCCGTGGCACTTGAATAGTTATGGTGTTGTGGAGTGCAGGCTTGAAGAACTTAAAAATACGCAGAACTACAGCTAAGCTAAGTGTTTGATTTCGGACTACCAGAAAATTGATTGGATGTTTGCTTCCTGTGGTATCTCTGTGCAGATATCGCAATCTTTGGTATGGAACCATCCACTTTACTTTCCTCAATTATATTTATTATCTAAACATTTTATCAGCTATTAGCTAAACAGGTCAGAATAAACAGGCATTTTTGTCTTGCCGCCATGCCACAGAAGCCGATGATCCCAGCAATTCAAATTCTATAAATTCGTACTTGACGAATCCCAGCATTGCTGTCTTCTCTAACCTATACAATATGCTCCCCTGTGGTTTTCATTCCATTTGGCCCACAATTTGTGTTGCAGAACTCAGCACTGTTGCTCTTTAGCACACTATTGATGTGATCGGCACACAAGATGCTCATATTTCACTTAATAAAGCTGGCCCGATCCAAGATCAATTGTTTAGACATGATAGGTCATCCTGCACATCATGGGCAATTGATACATAAGTTCACACTAGTGTCTGCCAACCCCTGCAATAACATTGCAATGTTATTGAGATCAGCACACTACAG